GCCAGCTGTTGAGCTTTAACTGTAAGTTCATGTATATTTAGGTAATCGGGTGTGCGGGTTGTGATAAGGTGGACTTCGATAATTTGGATTCTTGCACTTCACTTGTTGGAATTAATATTAGAATGTTAGGGTTTGTAATCCAAGTGAGAATATATACATTTTAAGACCTAACCAGGAACGACTGCGAAAAAAGCAGCACAAGGTCCTCTGGTAGGAATTGAACCTACGACCCTGCGATTCCGGTGCAGCGCTCTAACCAACTGAGCTACAGAGGCCAGCTGTTGAGTTTTAACCGTAAGTTCATGTATATTTAGGTAATCGGGTGTGCGGGTTGTGATAAGGTGGACTTCAATAATTTGGATTCTTGCACTTCACTTGTTGGAATTAATATTAGAATGTTAGGGTTTGTAATCCAAGTGAGAATATATACATTTTAAGACCTAACTAGGAACGACTGCAAAAAATGCAGCACAAGGTCCTCTGGTAGGAATTGAACCTACGGCCCTGCGATTCCGGTGCAGCGCTCTAACCAACTGAGCTACCGAGGCCAGCTGTTGAGCTGTAACCGTAAGTTCATGTATATTTAGGTAATCGGGTGTGTGGGTTGTGATAAGGTGGACTTCAATAATTTGGATTCTTGCACTTCACTTGGTGGAATTAAAATTGGAATGTTAGGGTTTGTAATCCAAGTGAGAATATATACATTTGTATATTCTCACTTGGATTACAAACTATTCTCACTTTGATTACAAAATATATACACAAAATATATACATGTACTATACATTTGTATATTCTCACTTGGATTACAAAATATTCTCACTTGGATTACAAAATATATACATGCATATATTCTCACTTGGATTACAAACCCTAACATTCTAATATTAATTCCACAAGTGAAGTGCAAGAATCCAAATTATTAATTTCAAATGCCCCACCGGGGCTAAGGTTCGAGTGGAAATGCCCAACCCCCGGGATGTGCTTTACAGGAAAATGGCTGGGCGAGGGGGATGGACACACTTGGATTTGGCTGATGCATTAAAAGTCCTGTGCTTATTCCAGACTGCTTGTCAAATATTTACTTGCTAGAAGTAGAAATTTACTCTGACCACTGGATGAAGAAGACATTAAATAAGTACTAGTCAATAAACAGAAATGTATTTTATTTCATAGTATTACAATTTTATTTTTATACTATAAAAATAAAATATAAATATGCAGCATAGAATATGCAAATTCGAGGCAAAATTATTGTTGAATCGGTTTATTTATAGGATTTTATAACAAATAGCAACTATAAAAGTTTGTACCTTGTCTTCACCGATCGCTTTATTCTGTTAGCCAATGCTTTTAAATTTACATATTTTAGAATCAGTTCCTTTCCCGGTAACTGCATTTCTAAATGAAATCAGATCAACGTGAGTAGTGAGTGCTGAGCAGGCCGTTTTACTATAAACAAATTTTAGGAATTGTTAACAACTTTGAAAAATATATCGTTGCACATTCGGTCACAGTCGGAAAAATGTTCATAGTATGTTGTACCGTCGTTTGCAACTAACGATGAACAGTCGCTCATAAAAACATTTGCGTGATTAGAATCTTCAATGTTTGTCAAGAACAACAACACTTAATTGTTGTTTCCCATGTGTGCAATAAAAATAAGTAACAAAACTTTGTCTGAACTTGTTGGGCTAGAGACCTACTGGAAACTTTTACAGGCTTTTTAATGAGAATAGAGAATGTTTTATCTGCAACTGTTCACCCTTAGTTGCCACCGACGGTATTTGACAGCATAAAATTGCCTGCGGCTGTGATAACTGATATAAATAAAATACAGTCTGGTTATACTGACTTGAGCGTGTCATGACAAACTCTTTATTGGAAAATTGTGAAGAAATAGTCGAATATAGAGGGTCGAATATCATACTTCAACTTGTATAGCTACAGTAACATTTATAGTAGATTACTACATAGCGTTGTGAAGACAAGCCTTTGCTTACCTTTCGCTTCAGCAGTCTTTTTTCCATGCTTCTCTACGCTTTCCCAGGCGAGCTTCTCTTTCCTCAGCAGTCTCCTCGAGCAAACGTTGTTGTCTTCGCTCCCTCCTTTTCGCTAGACGTTCGGCTTTCTTGTCGCTTCCTTGCCGCTCTTCATTTGGCTCCATATCTTTTCAATTGGTATTTGATACCGTAATTGTTTTATTAAACTTTTTATAGAACAAATTGCTTTGAAAGCTGTCAAAGTTTTTTGCAAACGTACAAAATACTGTAGTGTAAAAAGCAAATTATTTTCATGGAGTATCTGTCAGTTGAAGTCGTCATTTGTCATACAACAACAAATTTTAAATTTGACCAATCAGTGTTCGCTATCCATGACAGTCCGCCATATTTTTGAGATCAGTGAGGATGACCACCCACGCAACACCACTGAGCTATACTATATTACTGGAGGAAGTGCTCGGCCAAAAAAGTGTCCGCAAAAACATGGCGGATTTTCGCGCCATATGACGCCATTTCCATGACAACTGGTTCCTCCGGCTCATGGAATTACCGCTGACCAGGCTCAATTCTGAGCCCGCTACAATTTTCACACCCCCCTGGTTTTATAAAAAAAATTTTTGCTTTTCGAGGTTTTTGCAGTAAAATCTCGTTTTTTTTAATATTTTTTGAATTTTGACCATTTGTTAAAAGATTTAAAAGTCGTACACGCTATTCTCACCCGCAAAAGACAACAAACCAATATGAAAAGCCCGAGAAATTTAGGCAAAGGCGATATTTGATGGCAGAGCTCACAGGTAAATATTTCACATACTATTGATATGTTTTTATTTTTAATTTTTAAAAGATAATGGGAGTAAATGATAGAATATAATCCATTAGATAACAGGCTCTTTGTATAGTATAACGTATTATTTTCCCCCATGTGTTCAAAGTCTTGTCGTAAAAAAATACAGAAACTTTGTTTTTATATTCAAATTAAGTTTTTTGGGGGTTTTTTCTTACTTTACTGGCTTTGTTAAATTGTTGGCTGGCCATGGTTTTTGTTAAACAAATTTTGTTTTATTTAATTCAGTTAAATCAGTTTTTTCCCTCAAATCTTTTGGGTTTTCTATATAGACTGATGACTGAAATCTGACATGCTTGATTTTATGTAATTGTATGTGCTAAATAAGTGTATGTACAGGTGTAAAGGCATGAAACAATGTGCTTCTATCTATATTCTTTGTGTTTATATATACTAGAGTCTGTGGTTATTATAGTATGCATAATCTAGGGTGCCAGTAGAAGCTAGCCTAGGGGTGCCAGAAGCTCAGGATACTGTGGGCAACTTATCTGGTAATATGATTTCTACCTAGATTTCTGACTAATGACATGTTGAATTGAGGATTCTTGAGCCACTAGAAATAGGATTGTACTTCTTGAATGTTGGGTACCAATCACAAGTGTAAGTATAAGCAAAGTATATAGATTATAGGCTTTATAGGGTTGCACTGGATCTCATTATACAGGCCAGAACTGAGAAAGTCACACATGCTAGTCAGACATCAAGTCAGAAACAATTTAATTGGTAGATAATGTCACTTCCAGTCCATGCAGGTGGATTTATTTGGGGGTTTTGTTCATTTCAGTCCTCTCTCTGTGCACCCCTGTATCAGATGCAACCACCTGAAACTAAGAAACCAATGAACTTCAACATTTCAAGTGAAAGACCTATAGTATTATTTTTCAGGTAGTTGCATGATACATTCAAGTCTTTAAATAGTGTGGTGGCTTAAGCTACTTTTCTCATTTCCTTTCTTCACTTTCTTACTTTTTTGTCTCTAGTGAAAACTTCATTTTACAACATTTTAATTATATAATCTCTTTTTGGTCTAATTGCAGAATTATTTGATGGTGAGACAGTTCATAGTTCAACCTCTTTATTAAAGAATTATCAGTTATTAGAAATAATTAATTTAGTTAGCAGTGATAAAACTATCCAGACAAGTTATTATTGTGACTTTGTAGCCAGATGGGTATGATTTTGCTTTGGCTGTTCAGCATTTTGATCCATTGTGATATGTCTTGTGGTACCTGTGAATGATTTTACCTGCAAAATGAATGACAGAATATCAGAATGTAACATTACATTAAGATACATCCTTACATTGCAATAAAACTATGTAGTAGATGGTCAGTGTGAAGAATATGGTCTTTGACACTCTTTGTATATAATAAACATGCTATTGTGTAATGGAAATGATCAAATAAAGTTATTTCTGCAACAGCCCTTGCATTCAAACACCTTATTTGTATTTTTCTTGTTCATGCTTGAGCATCAGCCTCAGGATAAGCAAATTCCATTGGATTTGTGAGGGCACTTGAACTATATTGGGTCATTACATGAATTACAGAAAAGATTCAGACTCCCACAGCCTGTGCTACAAGTTACAGCTGTGACAGTGTAGAGGGGGGATCCACAAGTAAAATGTGCTAGAATATCGAAGGGGGGGGGGGTGATACAAATAAAAAATGATGTTTAATATGACTTAAAATTATTAAGCAATTGAGTGCACTAGCACTTTCCCCTTAACAAGTAAAATTATCTGGTATTGGACTGAGTAGGATAACAAAGTAGGGCATAATGTTCCTTTATTAATCACTTATAATAAAGGTTTAAATGCTGAATAAATAATTTTTTAAAGTGCCAGAGTGGCAACTGGCAGGGTACTAAAAAGGTAGGTTGTGCACATGCATCCTAAATAAATACTGCTACAAAAACCTGGTAGTTAAAAGTTAAAACCAATCACGAATTTCATTATTTCAAAGTAATATAAAACAAAACAAGTCGGGAAAAGGATTTTGAACCCAAGATATGAGACACAATTTATAATACAGTATGAGAATGAGTTTGAATATAAAGAACAACAAAAAAGAGGATACAAAGCTACAAACTACTGTGATATTGTTGAAATTAGCAATATTATACATTTGCTGCTTATAACGGTAGTTTTTGACAATTATTTATGCTTTTCCATCGAAATGGCAAGTTATAAAATTTGCCCGAAGCAACCCAAGCTTTGGCAAGCTAGAACTTAAAAAAAGTAAAAGAAATAAAACTTTTGTGAATCTTACCTGAAAACAAGAAATATAATAATCCTTTCGAGTGAATTGTTTCATCTACAAGCAGACTAAAAACTTAAAACTAACACACTTTTTTCTCGACTGCAAAAATATCAAAATGTTCAGTCGAAACTCGAAAATTATGATCAAAATTTTTGCAAAAACCAGGGGGGTGAAGGATTTACTTCAAGCGTAGGATCGCGGTTGGTCAGTGGTAATTGCCATGAGCCGGAGGAACCAATTGGCGTCAGCAAACATGAAAATCCGCCATGTTTTTCCGGACACTCGTTTGACTGAAGGATAGATAGGAGCACGTCCTCCAGTAGTATTATAGCTCAGTGCTCAACACCGTTGGTCACCCACGCCCGCGATATTTGATGAACTTTAGACTCCGCTAATGCTTTCGTTTCCCCGGGTGTAAATAGCCGGGGGGAATTAGTACCCTCGCACGGCGCTTCGCGCCGCCGGCTCGGGGACAAACCATAGAAATAAAATTAAAACAATATATTTCATTTCAAATGCTTTTTTTTTCATTAATGTACAATAACTAGGGAATTTTATGTAAAGTGCAATTCTACATTCTCTTCGATTGACTTGAATATGTTTATGGCTAGCATTTATTTGATGTACTACAACAAATCCACTAAGTTTCAATGGACATAGCATCTCCCTATTTGCCATAAGGCATTATATTTGGTATTTTAATTAATATCTTAATTATTACAGAAATGATTGCACAAGTCATGCGTTTTGACAAATGTTGATCTATATTTTCAATATTAACCCCATTAAGCACCAGCGTTCTCCTCTCAAGACAGAGTAAAAAAAATAAAGTAGGTCGCAATGCGACTCAATGGGTTAACTATACACACGGGCAAATAGGCCAGTTAACCCATTAAGCACCAGCGCCCTTACCTTGACGAGTAAAATCATCTGGTGTTAGACAGAGTAAAATAATAAATTAGGGCAGAATGCGACTCAATGTGTTAACAACACACATGGGCAGATAGGCCAGTTAACCCCATTAAGCACCAGTGCTCTCTTCTTAATGAGTGAAATCATCTGGCCAGCGTTAGACAGAGTAAAATAATAAATTAGGGCACAATGCAACTCAATGTGTTAACAACACACATGGGCAGATAGGCTAGTTAACACATTAAGCGCCTGAGCGCTCTGCCCTTAATATTGTCCTGCGATAGGCAGAGTAAAATAATAAATTAGGCCGCATTAGGGCACAATGCGACTCAATGGGTTAACTATGTACACATGGATGGGCAGATAGGCTAGTTAACACATTAACCGCCAGTGCTCTCCCCTTGATGAGTAAAATTGCTAGCGTTAGATAGCCAGAGTAAAATAATAAATACTTAGTGCGCATCAGGGCGCAATGCGACTCAATGGGTTATTAACATCAACAATGTTTCATATGTCAAATCTGCCATGCTCAATATAATCATAGATTCGACTATTAATTTGACATGTAAGTCAGATGTCCTGTATACAACAACAACATCAATATACAGTATACTATTAATTAATTAATTAATCAATCAGCCACAAAATTGTCAATCGTGTATTATTCTCGGCCTAAAAGCTAAACCTATTAATCCTAGATTGGTGTTTAGTTTGGCTTTTGCTGCTACTGAAACGACTTTTATATAATTATGTGATTACAGCTCGGAATTACAGTGGGTTCTGCATATAAAGATTTTCTCTGGATTCGATGTTTCACTATTTAGTATCGAGTAAAATCAACAAATAATTATGGGTCAAACGAGGATGAGAGTATTTTAAAGTTGAAACATAGTTGCAGAACACTCATCAAAGCTTTAATAATATTTTGTTCATCTGGAACTTGAAATGTCCTTTGTGTATTGATAAGCAATTCATGCATGACTTTCATCCTGATTTGACAGAGGCTATATAAATCTAAAATACCAGTTTAAAAACTTACATTATCAAATGAACCAGTGTTGCCAGTATGCCTGATTCAGGAGATGATTCTTGATTGGGCAAAGTTAAACTAGACTGGGCTGCTAGCAACCAAGTGATATGTCGCAGGATTTGAGCTAGTAGTGAACTGGATATTTCAATGTTGTGTGCACTTTTTTCATCGTCGCTGTCACTTTCAACTAGAACCTACATATACAAAAAATAAATAATCGTACATTCGTATCGTAAACGTGAAGCTATAAGAACATATTTTGAATAATTGATGTCCGCTGTCGTGATTTGGCCATCAGCAAACAACAGTCGTCGACACGAAGGTGAAGAAAGTAAATAACATTTGCCAGAATTAGGCTAGTACAGCACGAGACGTTTCTTGAACGTATTTTCCTAATAAATTGTTTATTTGTTCAAAATATACTGCAACGAACGAGGTTTTACGCTTGTATTTTATCCGTATCCCTCGTCGAAGCAAATCCCAACGGCCAACGTTCGATAATGGCGCCAAAAGTTAGTACGCATGTTCGAGAATGATCGCAAACCCGATTGCTTACGGGCGCGTGCATTCTCGTTCCCAGTTCCCGCGATCATTAATATTAATATTACACCTAGGCCTTATTCTATGATTACACGTTCAATTCTCGTGATTAATTTTTACAAATACCGTATTTATATTTACGATAATATTACTAAAAATCTGGAAAACAAATTTCAATACCCTACAAAATGGAACATCAAATCTCACCTTGTATAAATTAATCAAAAAAACGTCCTCTTCTTTTTCTTTGCGAGCATGTGCATTCTTTAAGTTTTATGCGGAAGTTAATTTGATACGATCATACGACGGACGATCGACACAATTAAGAGTCGATTTGACGGAAGGGTCGATTTGACACAATATTAATAGTCGATTTGACACAATTAAGAGTCGATTTGACACAAGTTAAGAGTCGATTTGACAGAAGAGTCGAATTGACACATTTACGAGTCGATTTGACAGAAGGGTTGATTTGACACATTTAAGAGTCGATTTGACAAAAGGGTCAATTTGACACAATTAAGAGTCGATTTGACACAAGGGTCGATTTGACACATTTAAGAGTCGATTTGACAGAAGGGTCGATTTGACACAATTAAGAGTCGATTTGACAGAAGGGTAGTTTCGACAAAAGGGTCGATTTCATTCCAGGGTCGATTTGACCTATGCGAGAGTCGTTCCGCGATGGAGAGCCGAAACGAAGCTCATAGAGGCCAATGTGTTGATCAAAAGCGGCCCCTTTATGTGGGGCCAAAACAAACCCGGACGTGAGAGTCGTTTTGGTCTGTGGGGCCATATTGGCAATTGATGGGGCTAAATTGGAAAATGATGGGTCCGTTACGGCAAAGGGTAGGGCCAATTTGGCTTTCCTCCATACCTAAAATGGCTCCGTCGGTGCCGATCCAGCTCTCCAATGCCAAAATGGCTTTCACATAGGGCCAAAACAGCTTTGGCCCCAAAAGGGCTGAAACGGAATTTGGGGTCGATTTGGCCCTTTTTAATTTACAGTGTAGTTGCAATTTGAATTTCGTGACCGTGTGACATAAAACTGACATGTCAACTGTTAGCTACTAGTACTAGATATTTCCAGCCTGACCGCGTATAAATTTGAAAACGGATAATATATGCATACAGTGCAAATCTTCGCATGAACTAACTATCCAATATTTATTTTGGGCCACAAGGGAAGTCCTTGTAGTTGATCAAGTAATGATATTTGAAACAAATATGCTGTATACGTGTTCTTTTGACAACAAATAAAACGATATATCATTAACCAGGCCATTTAATAGGCCATCAAACCCTACTTTTTAGCGTAGTCAGAAATACTTGTTCAAATTGAAACGTTGATATCCCAGCCAATTAATATCACATGAAAATCTTGTAATATATAATATTTCCACATTCATGATCCAGTTATCCCTATTTGGTTGCAATAAATCTTATTTGAGCGAATAGCTGTTCTAATTTTTCTGCTTAATTAAATCAAATAGCGCAACTTTCCCCTTCGATCGGCACATATATATATAGTTTAGTCTTTTAAGAAACAGCTGGCTGCCTAACCCTATAGGTTTAACAGCAGTAAATTCTATACCTTCCAGTTATAAATCCAGAATGACGTAATGGTTGAATTGTCTTTTAGAGATTATTTAAGATTATTTAAGCAATTAAAACATATTCTGCATGGCACGTACCTATAATATTGAATGTTGCGAATTGAAACCTGGCTCTGCCCTCTACGAGACCACAAAGTACATGTAAATGCTCTGCTGAATTTCCTCGATCTTGATTAAATTTTGTGTCCAAACACTCTGGAAATTGTTATCCCAAAGATTATACCATGAGCTTCCCCTACAAGAGCTCTGAAATATCTGGCACAAACAAAACTAACTTAATTACAGTACTAGTGGGTGTATGTATAGATGCATTTTATCATTTTTTACTACTTTTTGTTATGTGTGTCATCGAAACAAAAAAAAAAAAAAACTACAATCAGTTTCAAAAGTCTTGGGACAGATGCCACAATTACAAAACCTTTGAATTTCAACAAACGACAATCCCGCCCGCCCCCTGTTCAATGTTGTGTCCCGTTTCTCGTCGGGTTTGATGTGTTTTGGTTTAAACAACATTGATTGGGGTGGGGGGAGGGGGAGCGGAGCGGTATTGTGTGTAAAAAACTATAATGATCCACTTACAAGCTAAAACTACATGTGTCCCAACAACTTCTGAAAGTGATTGTCTGGGCCCCATATACCATAACATCATTGCACATCTCAAAAGTACAGGGAATAGAATGCTCTGCGAACGAAGTATTTCAGCTCCGTTTCGTTCACAGAACATCTAATGACATTATAGAACAATTAAGTTTCATTAAAATTCTAAAAGTTAATAATTAACAGAATACGAATATAATTTGTTATGTCATATTGCATTCTTAATCACAAAGGTTTTATACGTTGTTTGTTTCTACAAATTTTGGCAGAGCACTAGTAGGTTATTTGAGAGGTTATAGTCCGTCAATAAAGATAAGTATCGCAAATGTTTTACGCTAGATATGTAACACATACTGTTAATTTATAGCATAGCGATATAACATCCGGTTACTTTCGCATGCGGGTAAGGGCTGAGTCAACTGCTAATTCGCGTACTCCGAAGGTAAAAAACGTTTGATTTTGATCACCAATAGTGAATGT